AGAAGCTGTGGAGGACAGCTGCTGCATATGCAAGCGCTTGCTTTTGCGGTGGTTTACATGAGAATCTGCTATCTCTTTCATGAAGCAGACCTCTGTTTCAAGTTGTAATAGTGTTACTCTTTAATATCTCTTCACTGTTTTTTTGCAACGCTTCAATCATCTTCCCGTAGACGGTTGCTTTTTGCAGCAGTGTCTGTTTCCGTTGGTGTTTTCTGCGTGAGCAGGAGCCCATAGCTTTCCTGCTTGTTCGCTGACAGCCGCAATGCAATTTTTCTTCTTCGCTTCTTCCTGTTCATGAACGCGCTGTTGATGTTTCTTGACTAGCCTCCGTGTTGCCCTCTCAACCCGCAGTTTGCCTGGCTATCTCCCAGTCAGCGTGCCAGTTTTGTGTGGGTGTAGTGCAACAAAAAGTGTCACGCTCAGTGGCACTTTCTGTTGCAGTTTTACCGTTTAGGCGACTTGTTGTGCACTATTTTCCCGTAGGCGACTGCCGTTGCAGTATTAAGTGAAGCCTGCGTACGTCATCCTCCACCTCGCCTTTTCATTTACATTCCAAATCCTAAGCATCTGACAAAAGTATAGCTTTTAGGTTCATGTACAAACATCATTATAGCACAGCCCCTATGCATGCAGAAAGAAGCATTGTTTCGCAGGGCTGTTCTCGAAAAAATCGAACGCCTTATCACTCCAAGCTACAAAGGAAACTCATTAGTGCTCCTGCTGCAACGCAATCTACTCAGCATTGCTGCTGCAGCGCCAGCTATATATTTGAGCTGTTCCAGCATCAGGTACTTCGTATTGCTGCTTTTGGTGCATCAGATACTGAGCTCTTCGGTTCAGCGGCCCCCACTCCACAAGCAATCGCCTACAATGACGAACCAACTCTCATATTCTCTCCCCTACTCATTTTGCTGCACTAGTATATCAATACAATATGGACTGCGAACGGACAATACTTTACTTCAATCCTAATATAGTGTTAAAACTGGGGTATTTCTGCAGCGTCGCTCCACCTTCCCCCCGCTGTGAATTCAAGTCTGTTTCCTCTCTCTGCCTTCTGAAAACATCAAACAATTAAAACTGCAGCGGCAGGCATCGCGAGAAGTAAGTCGACTACAATTCATGCATACCAGAGTAGAAAAACACACAACACGCGCGGAGGCGTTCACCTTGTGCTTTCCTCATCAAATAACGGCACTTGTTCGCATCCTGCATCGGCTTTTGCATACATTTTCGAGTCAACCAAAGCAGGACAAACGAAAACCAAACATCGAGAGAGGTGCTCTTTACACCCATCGTCTTTCTCAACTCTTCCTGACTTCAATGAACTTACCGTCGTCTAGAGCATATTCGTACCCTACAGTGCTTTGTCGCAATCTCTTTGTAAGTAACAAACCCCTATGATAACGCCTTCTGCAGCGACGTATCCTGTCAAAATCCCACTCAAACTATGGTAATTAATAACTGTACATTGCTGTTAAATTAATAAACGCTGTTTCCTACAGGGATTATGAGAATCCGTTGAATGCGATGCCGCTGCCCCGGGGTAATGGGCGCGGCGAGGCGAAGGTACAGAACAGAAGGGGAAATCAGCTGCTCTTTTAATTAACGTGCAGAAAAAAAACGGCAAACTCCCTATGTTCAATTGTCAAGCGAAACTCGACATTGAACTTAAAAATCTGAGGCTAGCTCACTGTCTAGCTTCTCTATGCAGAGGCAAATGCCACTATAGCAGTTAAGCCTGCTACAAGAAGGGAGGGTACGGCAGCAGCTGCAGCGCCCTGGACAGGAGCTTTGAGGTCCTCGTCAGTCATTGCTGTCAATTGTGTTTTTCGTTCTTTGAGCGCTTCGTAATACTCCTTGCTGCAACGCAAAACCAAGACATCAGGAAGCATACAGTCTAATTGCAGAAGCAGAAGTTGTGCTGTATCCAGCCATCTCCTTGATTTAGCCCCCTCACTCAACACTTACTCGAAGGGAGCCTTGTCTTTCACTGCTGCAGGCTCCATCTGACAAAAAAGAAATGTGGCACTTTGTGAAGTTCGATACACTTGTGCTGCTGCAGCGCATGTTCCAATGGCGCAGCCAACTTTAGTGCTGTTAGACGAGAGAAGGTGTGCGAGGTTAGCGCCGTCGGGTTTCGCCCAGAACTCTGTCCACTTCTCCTCAGTTTCAGTTTCAGGGTATGACTTCAGCTCTCTGAGGGAAGAGCAGCAGTCGACATAGCAATACCATGCAGATTTAGCATTTAAATCAATTGGATCAGCGATGATGATGATGATGATGATAAAGTGGGCTTCTGGCGGGCACTGGCGGGTATGAGTAGGGCGGCTATGATTATGGAGAACTATTCGTCACATCCTCTTCCCTTCTAAGCACTATACGAATGCATATAAAATCACAGTAGGCAAAAAACTATGGCACAGAGGTGTCATATCTTGTGGAATCAGGCTATCTACTTGCTTGTGTGCTGGTGTTGGAGTGAGTAAAGATGCACTCACCCAAGTCCAGCGTCAAGGGCTTTCTGCACCGCTTGGCGATAGTTTCGGTCTTCAGCATTTGTGAACAGTGCGGTAAATTTCTTCTCCTTCTGAAAAGTCAAAAATGAGCGAAATATGTCAAGTATATTTTCGTTTTAACGCGGAAGTCCATAAACGTCTGAAGGCGAAGATACCGCCGCTAGTCGAACATTTAAACGGTGGTTCTACTCACAAGTTTTGCGATGGCTTGATCACACGAAGCGGCTATCAATGGCTCACGCGCCGCTGTGAATGCAGT